GCGGAGCGCATGGGAGTTTCTCCGGGAGGAGGAGGAGGAAGAGGAGGGGAGGGAGAAGAAATGGAGGGATAGGCCCAGAGCGCGAGGGAGGAGGAGGAGGAGGACGACGAGGAGGAAGAGTAGGCGGACGACGACGACGACGACGGCGGCGGCAAGGACGTCGACGACGACGACGACGAAGACGACGACGAAGACGACGACGAAGACGACGACGATGACGACGACGAATACGACGACTCCCTGTGCGATCGAAGACGCCCACGGCGAACCACCGCCACCCCTTGCCTTCTGGAAACGCATGTGTGACCAAACTTTGGGCCAACACCTGGCCAAGCTATTGGATTAGGCGGTGCCCCAGCCGTTGTGAAATCCCTCGGAGCAACATTTAGGGAGGAAGAGAAATAGAGAGAGAGAGAGAAAGAAACAAAAAAGGAGAAAGAAAGAGGAAGAGGAGGAGGAGGCGGAGGAGGAGGAGGAGGCAAGCTAGGCGCGCTCGCGTGATATCTGAAATTCGTCACGCTCCGCTTATACGCACACCAGCGTCCTCGACCACACCCTTGACCACCACTCTTCCGAGGTATACCCCACCGCTCCCACTAAGCGGAAGACAACAGTGGAGGTGCCAGAAAACACCTACGACATGGGTGCACACCTCTCCCAGGCAGGGATCACTGCGTCGGTCAGCGATGCATTCACACGACCCGCGCCCCGCGGCGAGGAAACGCCTCCGCAAGACATGGAGACCAGTGACCCAGACGGCCAACCGGGAGCAGATGTGAGGGCCTCCGGCAGCAGCGGAGCCTCCTTCCCCACAGTACCCCCACCGTCGTGCCCATACCTGCCTACGCTCTCCACCTCCCGTCTCGCGGGGGCTGAGTCGGACGGCAATGTCCACGCCCTGGTCAAGTACGCGATTGAGTGGAACCACGCAATCTACAAACGCTGGGCCACCTACGCTCGGCAACAAGGCGAGGATATCCAAGGGGACAGAACTGACGAGACGAGTTGGCAAACGGAGAGGCTACTCCCCTTCCTTGAAGCTGCGAACGGAAAGACAATCCCAGAGAAGGGACACCCCCCACGAGTCACATGGGATGGACAGCGCGCCGCAGCAGCCAGGGTGGTCACGCACTTAGCGGGCAACAGCCGGAAATACAAAGAAGAGTGGGAACGCTATGCAGACAACCTCACCAACCAGAAGAGGCAGTGCCCCTTCCGTCAGCCGTTTTACGTTCTCAGGACCTTCCTAAAAAGACTGGAAGACTCCGACTTGGCCAGGGCACCATCAATCACCTTGCAGCACTGCTCCTTGGGACGGCAGCCAGCAGCTCTGGCGGGGATGAGTCACCAACCGCTAGCTGGATCAACAGGCACTCCAGCAGCAAGGTACCCCCCGCGGCACGACTCCGAACGGAGGCCCAAGGCGCATCCTTGGACCGCGCTGCCGCGCCACCCCCACGGCTGGACGAGGCCGACGGGACCTTTGTCCCCCAGACTGAGAGACAAACCCCGCCAGGCCCGTGCAGAGGTGAAAGTGCGTGGAGGAGGTTGACTGGGGAGAAGAGGGGGGCAGAAGATCCGAGCCAGAAGACTACGCGAGATCCAGCGAGGACAGCTCCGTGGACTCCGACTCGCACGTCAGCTCCACCAACCCCGATGAAGACCTTCCTGACACTACGGCCCCTGAGGATGGCCCCGTCGTCCCGGATCCCCTCCAGCTCTGTGCAAATGCGCCCGAAAGAAGCGACTCTGACGTCTGGTCCCCATGTGAGCAGGCTGCCTTCCGGGAGGCAGTCAGGGAAAGGAACGCCCCAGGCAACCCCCATAGCAGGGACATGCGGTTTCGGAGCTTGGACGAAGCTCGGGACAACAGGTCTCTGAGACGCACTGATGGCGGCAGCAACCAGCGACCACCAGTGATCGAATAGAACAGGGCCCGGGAGCGCTCGGCCACCCCTCCCCCACGCGCACGTTACCCAGGCCACGCGCCTCCGCGCGCCGCACAGGCCCCTTGGAACGACGCGCGGAGGTCACTGCCACCAGTAGAGCAGCACGACGACCCCATGGGAGGCGCCCCCATGCACATGTGTCCAGTGGACCAAGCGGACGTCTCCAAAGACGAGCCGGCCCCCGACAAGATCACACGTCTGCAGAAAACGCTAGGGGGTGCGTTCAATGGAGCGTGGGGCGCCTGTCTCAGCAAGCAGCTTTGAGGCGAGGGAGCCACGATGCCAAATTTGACCCCAAGCGAAACTCTGTACAGCAGTGCAGCGATTTCCTCCAGGCGTGGACCAAGGCGAAGTTCGATGCCTACAAGATGGACAGGGAGTGCAATCTCGAAGTTGACTGGCAGAGTGTCAAGGATCGACACTGCAGGTACCTGCAACGAGTCGCCGAGCCACGCGCCGCTCGAGGGTGCGACAGCCGCGGCCGCCCACCCCCTTGGTCCGCAGCAGGCAAAGAGGCGGCGCGTACGCCCCGTCCAGACCAGTGGACTGGTGCATCAAGCTCTGCCTCGTCGCGGCGCGGATGGCAGTCATGTGACGCTTGGGGGCGCAAGGAATCCTCATGGACCGACGTTGACTGCAAGGCGAATGGCAAGCGCTATTCCCTGAGAGAAGATCATCCGTACGCCGATAAGCGTCAGCGATGTTGGGACTTCTGATCCAGGCGACAGGGATGCAGCGTGAGACCCGTGCAAGGATGACCCACCCACTCCACCTAGCGCAGGTGCCCACGGGCGTGACTGATTCCCCCTCCCGGGAGCGCGCGCAGCCCAGGCAGTTCCCAAAGCCGACTGGTGGGCACCACCTCCGGCCTACCTGCCCCACTCTGCCCGGCAGTCGCCTACCCCCCCCCCCCCCCCCCCCCAGCTAGTTTCACCTGCAGCGCTTGGCTCCGGCCGCAATGCCCTGCGTTACCTCCGACGTGGCGGAGGGGCACCAATGCCCTCCCGCTGCGCACGTAGACAGCCCACGCTGGACTCGTGGACCTTCAGCGCCCGACTTCGGCCGCAATGCCATGCGCCACCTCCGCTGGGGCGGGGAGGCGCCAATGCCCTGGTGATGCACTCGTAGACAGCCCACGCTGATCCGTGGACATTGCCCCGCCTTCCCCCCCCGCGGCCGGCTGCCGCCGAGGACCAAGGCCCTGCCTCCAACACAGGAGGTCTCTGCCCACGCAGACTTGAGGGGTCGACTGCGCCGCTACCTAGGGCAGCCCCTCCTTTTGACAGCAGCTTCGGATGACTGAAATAACCCATCCCCTGCTGTCCACATTTGCAATGCTCTTCGGCGCAGGCGTACCACATCACCAACTGCACCGCTGTGCTCAGCCCTAAACCCCCCGTGGACAGGAAGTTCCGTACGCGGTTGTTCTATGCATTGATATCCGTGTTCTGCGGCTTTCGGCTGCGCCCCCATCTCTCGCCTTCTTTCACCCAACCGCTTTGCGACACTGGTCATACGTGCAGCCTGTCTACGGCTCGAGCCTTCCAGCAGTACTCAGGGCCATGTCAGCACTCAGGGCCGCTACGCGGCCTGTCATGGACCGCAATGCTTGCTTCCTGGATAACAATGATCTGGGTCAGCTGGGCGCGGCCTCCACCTCCATGTACAAGGTGGTGTCCATTGCGCTTACCTTGTGGGCCATCTGGGACCCTGGCGCGCCCGGTGGAGCCCGCTGGATTGGCAGCCCCATGGTCCTCAACCGGCCCTTTGCCTCGAGCAGCCCTTGTGAGCTCGTGGGCTGAGGCCGCTGCGGATATGGCCGCAGACCCCCATGGTCACGAATTTTTCTGTATGGTGGAGCTATGCATTGATATCCGTGATCTGCGGCTTTCGGCTGCGCCCCCAATCCCCCTCGCCCCGTACTTGGACGATCTGCAGAGCGTCTTCCGTGATATGCGGCTTTCGGCTGCGCCCCCAATCAGCGTCACTTTATTTGCCGCGTCTCTGCGGCTTTCGGCCGCGCCCCCCCCCCGCTGGCAAGGTTGACGACAGACGCTGAGGAGCAGGCAAGGGTTTCCGCAGAGGTCACCCCGGCGCGTCAGCAACAGCCTGCGACCGTGGCTACCTTGCTGTTCGGCCACCTCCTCCTCCTCCCCCCCCTCCTCCTCCCCCCCCCTCCCCTCCTTCCATCGCAAGTCATGCGACTTTCGGCTGCGCCCCCCACCATTCAGCTGGGAAGCATGCTACGGCCATGATGAGCGCCCGACCCTCGTCGCCGGCCCACTACTTGTCTTCTTCAAGGGAACGTCGGTTCGACAGCGCGCTACCAGCAGCCTGATCACCCGCAGCTTGACAGCTAGAAGCCACCGTTCTGCCCTGACAGCGCTGACATCTGGCCGCCGCTCTCGTGACACGGCGGGGCGTGTGGCGGTGGCTGCGGCCATGGCTATGTCAAGTTTGCGGGCCCGCAACGAGTGGTTCAGCCTTCCGCGGTTTAAGGTCGCGTTGCACGGCTCGACGCAGACATGCAGCCCAGGCCACCACCTCGCCAGCACTCGCATCGTTGTGCCCCCGAACTTCGTGAGTCGGGTACGATGTGCATACGCTGGCTACTGGCTGGAGATGGCTCACTCAGAACGCACACCTGTGGTCTACTCTGCCGGTTGGCGCTCAGTTCAGCCACCTGATTGGATGAGTGCGACCCCGCAGTGGTTGGTCGGGCCTGCAACATCTGGTCGCCTCTTCAGCGCAGCCCTGGACATCAGCTCGCCGGCACTTTGCTTCGTTGATCCCACGTGCGGCTTGTGTCGATGAGGATGCGCACGCACTGGCTCCGGCAGGCAGATGCTGGTCGCTGCTGACAGCCACGCACTGGGCGACGCCTGATGCCTGGCCTTGCCCCGGGAGCGGCCTTGCAGTGAGTGGTTCAGCCTTCCGCTGTTCGCGGTCGTTCTTTTTGCAGAGCAATCTGCACAGCGCTTGTCAGTTCTTGACGTCGTTATGCCCCCGAACTGCGTATGTCGGATACGGTGTGCGCGCGCTGGCTTCAGC